ATCCTCCTGCCTCAGCCTCCCCAGTAGCTGGGACTACAGTTATGTGCCACCACACCCGGCTAATTTTTTCTATTTTAGTTGAAATGGGGTCTCGCTCTTGCTCAGGCTGGTCTCGAACTCCTGAGCTCAAACGATCCGTCCACCTCGGCCTCCCAGAGTGCTAGGATTACAGGCGTGAGCCACCGCGCCCGGCCTATATATATATTTTAAAGAAACACTTCATTCCATAAAACAGAGTTAAGTGTTCCCTCTTCTTTAAAATACTAAGTGAACAGTTAAGGTCCCCCACCCATAGGGACTGTGGCAAGACTACTCGTTGACCCTCAATATCCCTTCTCCCCAGCTTCTACAGTACAGCAACTTCTGCTATTTGTCTGGGAACGTGGCCACCCCAGATTCCTTTGCAGCTGCATGTGCCCACGTGACAAAATTCTGGCCAGCGATATAGGAACAGGTTTTGAGGCACACGTCTTTCTCTTAAAGGCAAAGGTATCCCCTCCCCTCCTCTTGTTCCTGGTGGCCACAGCAGATGAGGTGGGAATCGTGAGAGATGGGAGAGCCACAACATATAAGGAGATAGAGAAAAGCTCCCGACGTGGAAGGGTCACCATGTGAGCCCTCAGTGATCACGTGAGACTTGAGAGAGAAATAAACTTTCATCTTCCTTATGCCACTGTTATTGTGGGCTTCTTTGTTATAGCGGCAGAACATTACGTTAACTAATAAAGGACAAAGAACAGCTCAGTGTGGTGGCTTGCCTGTAGTCCCAGCCACTCAGGAGGCTGAGGCTGGAGCATTGCTTGAGGCTGGGGGTTCGAGACCAGCCTGGGCCACAGAGTGGCCCTCTTAAAAAAAAAAAAAAGATGAAGAACAATCTCACAGGCTTCCAGCCATGAGCTCAGGGACAAAGGCTCACGGGGTCTAACCTCTACTTTGTCCATGTCCCTATTTGATCCTCATTTACTCAGCCTCCCCAAACCCGCCCCAAATCATTGAGTCCTCCAGACACTTCCCAGGTTTCTGGTGAATTTAATGCAGGAGTCACAAAAATCAATGGCAGGGGAAAGGTGAATAAAATTAAAATGAGGTCAGGGGAAGAGGGCCGTGGGCACACGTAAGGAGGGGCAGGAAGTGGCCGCGTTAGGAGCCGGAGCAGGTGGATTCCTTGGGTGTCACATCTCATCCAATCCGTAGTCCTCTTCTGGGAAGTCCCCGACCGTCACAACTGCCGGCTTGACGAAGGCGCCGTACTTGGCCTGGCATTCGAAGTAGCGTTTCCCATTTACACTGCAGGGCATGATGGGGAAGGCAGTGGTCAGAGGACCCCCGATGTGGCTCCCCCTTGGGATGCTAGTATGGCCAGGCCCACCCAGCAGCGCGCATGGACTTCCGCACATACGCACACACACACGCACAGACACACACTAACGCCCGAGTGGGAACACTTGTTACCTGCCATCATTCTTCCCCAGTGGCTCGTCATAGCGGACGCCAATCCAGTAGCCAGGCTTGAAATCTGTGAGTCCTGCCCAGGGGAGAAATCCCAATGAAACATCGGAAGACACAGCTCACCCCAGATTAGTGCCTTCCCATCGAGTGGAAAGTCTGTCCTGCTAGCAACCACTCCTTGCTACCTCCA